GTTCATACCATATTGGTCACAGCATGAATTCTCCTTTGGGCAGTATGGTGGCTCTGTGGCTAAGGATCTGCGCCTGTGGCTGGAAGGTTGCCGGGCCATATCCCGTGGCCGGCAGAGGAATCTTATTCCATTGGGCCCCTGAGCAAGGCCCTTAACCCCAGCTGCCCCAGGGGTGCTGTATAAATGGCCGACCCTGCGCTCTGACCCCAAGCTTCTCTCCCTGTCTGTGTGTCTCATGGAGAGCAAGTTGGGGCATGCGAAAATACAAATTCCTGATGCAAGAAATTGTATATGGCCAATAAAGTAATCTTATCTTTTCTATCTTAAAAGCCTCGGTAAGCAAATGGCTTCTTTATGACTTCTTGCCACTCTGTAATGGTGCTGTATTGTGGGTTTGACACAGTGGAAGAAAATATTCCTCCATTCACCAATAGAGGGCCCCCAAGACCCTTCAAAAGTTTTTGACTGAAGGATCCAAAGCTGTATTTAATAGTTAAGTTCATAGTGTGATTAAATAAGAGCAGAGAAACTAATGTTAAGCCTGAAAGGTGTATAGAAATACAACAGATTTGAAAACCTCAACACAAATTAAAAACGAGAACATGGCATTAGAAAATTAATATGTAAATATTGACTTCATACTGGACAAGCATTATAATAGGACTGAAAAAATTTGCTTTTATAGTGGCTATCAAAAGTTCTAATCCTCCCTTGGACTTTTTCACCTTTTATTGTGTCACAGTAAGGAATAAAAAATGTATAGAAGTGGATTTTTTTCCCAATTGATCCAAACAAAACGCTGTATAATGTCAAAAGTGAAGTCAAATTTTACAGATCCTCCCCCATTAACAATACATATAAAATAGCATATAACTAAAAAATCAGAAAATAACTGATTGTATAATCAATTTCACATGCCTTGCAATGGGTCATAAGGGGGGTGAATACTTTTGATAGTCAGTGTATTTGGGGTATTTCATAATTATGCATTAAAAATCCTTTATTGTTGCTTTGTGAAGTAAGGACAGCTTCCTAGCAATTGGTTCACTTGTCCCGTGATGCAATGTCAGGGTTCTCATACACATGCTTGCATTTTGTTATTTTATTTGGATGTCAAAACTCATCTGCTGCAGTTAATCACGTCAAACTTTAAAGGCCTACTCTAGATCATACAGGACTACTGTATGATAAAAAAAATGAAAGGTGAAAGTGAAGTATTTTTAAGGTTGTTCTGTGAAGGGAAGTCAAGACGTTATATACAAAACAAACTGTTCTTTATGACTTTCACGTTGGTGAGGGTATAGGAGAAGAAATCTAGTTAGATCTATGATGTCATACAGCAGGTCACGCCTCTAAATTCGTCCAACAGCTACACAAGTCACAGATCTACTGAAGCACTCAACCCTGACTGCGTGCTTCAGGATTCACATTCCAGCAAGAGTTATTCTTCAGGAATCTGGAAATGGCAAAGCCTTGGATGTCACTGATATTCATGATGGGATTTCTCGGTGAATGCAGATTTTTTCCATTTATGACTATAATTTAGACTACCAGTTCTGCTCTAAATTGGAAAACAAGAAAATAATCCTGTTACATTTTTCCTGCACCAATTTCCAAATAAACATAAAAGAGAGGCATTTAAACATTCAATTCAGTCTTGAAATATTTAACTGAAATTTTAAAAAAAGTTCCTATTAACAAACATTGTATTTGATCTGTTTGCTTCTTTTAGGCCTGGGTTTCCCAGATGGTATTGCACAGTCTCCACTCTCAATCACAGAAGAATAACCTTTCCTTGAACTGCAGTTTCAATGTTACTTCTACTAATTATTATCTTCAGTGGTATCGACAGGAGAGAGACGGCAGCCCAAGATATTTTATTTTAGATTTAGAAGGCTGGAAGTGACTTTAAAGAGTTAAGAAGAGAAGGACTGGATCCTCGTTTCTCTTCATCTCTGGACTCAGACTGACTGTCTTACTCCTCCAGAAGCTGAGGCTCTCAGACTCTGCAGTGTACTACTGTGCTCTGAGGCCCACAGTCACACAGCTGGTCCAGCCCTCTGTCACAAACACCCCCCATGCATTCTCACCTCACATTCTGCTTCTCACAGTGAACGCTAGACAATATCTGAAACACTTCACATGTACAAACCACTGCAATGTGTTCAGAATTCTTATTTTAAAGAATAACATCCAAAGAACATACCACACAAATCTAAAGTTTGAAGTTGCTTCCATATTTCAGGGTTGGATTTAAAAAGGTGCTTCTCAGTCTTGACGATGCTCATACATTTTGAGGGAAAAGGCTACTTCACAGAATCTCATTTCACCCCCACCCCAAAGAATTAAATTATATATTTAATTATATATTTGAATTGTATTTCAAAAATATATATACTGTATAGTCTTTGATTTTGCTGTTGAATCTATTTTAGTTCTATGGAGTGTTAAATAATTTAACTGGTTAC